ATCTGATATTACCATCCAAATTATCAGCTGCAGTGCACTCAGCTGCTCCTGGTACACACTGTCGTTTCTATTATTTTTCTGTGTTGAACTAGACGCTCTAAATAAATATTCATTAATTTCTCGACAGCATTCGACCCACCCGGAAGATTCATTCAGCATTTTCGCCAGATGTTGTTTCATAGAGCATTTCCAATGTTTGTCACGAATGCCTACCATATCCCACTGTCAAATAAACAATGTCAACTCAAAGACACCCTTGAGTTTTGTTTCTAAATTTCCAGGATCTATCACAACAAATGCGACATCTTTCGCCATCGCACGGATTATCCATGAGCCTCCGTCTACAGTTGATACAACATCCCCGCGACATTCGACACAGACGCGGCACTATTGGATTCTCCGGCAGGGCGCGGTAATTTGTTCGGTGACACACCTCTAAGTAGGTACGTGAGAACCGGAGCGCTCGGCGCTTTCATCTCGCCGCACAGTGGGCGTCGAGCGGAGGCGTGGTGCGCGCTCGGGTCGCGTGCCTCACGACACCCGACACTCGGTTTTGTTGATCCGGGCGCTGTATATCGAAAAACCGGATTGGTGCTGGAAATGTGATGCCTGTTTTAACGGCACGAAAAAGTAGCAATTTTGTAAAATACATGAGAGGATTTGAAATACAGCATTGCGAAATCATTACTCTTCCTTGCACTATCTTGATTTCGAAATGGAAACGAAATTTTCCATTATTGGTCTCGAATTTTAAAGCTGAATGTGTGATAGCTCTTCCTTTTCTAAACAAGCAAAACATCTCAAATCTTTCAGCGCTTTTTAAAGTAATCCCCGTCAGTCTGTTCAGTGTTTCATCGTTCATCTAGCAGCCACCACGTTTATCCTTTCAGCCAATAAGGTAGGCTGTTCGCAGCGCATGAAACATGCATGTCCACGCCAGCTTAACGACTCCTGAAATTGCCGAACTTTGTACCCTGATGATCTCTTGGCGTCCAAACTGATAATGGAAGAGGTAATTTTCATAGAAATCATGGCCTCCTAATGGGATTAGCGCTAAGTAACCTTGTCAGTCAAGCTCCAATGCAAACCACATTTTTCGTTACTCAAAAGTTGTAAGCCATTTCACCCAAAGGTAAATCAGGCTGCTCGGACTACAAAAATAACAGCACATTTTGCGTGTCCGAAACAAGGCAACATATTTACAGACTTAGCTAAAAAGCCATCGCTAAGATGCTGTCTGTGACGTCTTATAAGAATGAACTCTAAATCGTTTCCGATCGCTGGAACAATTACCAGCATGTGTAAAGGTTATCATTAGGCTGTAAGAAATAACTCATGTAAAGCAAGGCCTTAGGTACTCTATTCCCTGTCCATTCCATTTATGGCAATACACCTTTTTGCATTTGAATTCAACCATTCGTCATAACTGTTTGAGGAGCCACTTCGACAATCGGCATAGAGCACAACTATTCCGGCGTGGTGTGTTTCATTTCAGCCATTCAGCAAAACAGATTGAACACTGAAATGAGCGATCCGCAAAACAGTTTAACACTTCGCCAGAATTCGGCATTGAGCGAGCTCGCTCGGCATATGACGAATAGTTTCGACCATTGACGATTTGTTTTGCACAATGTTGAACCATTTGTCCAATGTCGAGTTATAGGGGAAGATCGCCGAATAGTTTTGCACAATGGTGATTCTTTGTGACCAACCGACCATTTGTAGCGCCACCTATATGGCGAATGTGTACAAATGTTTTGCCCAATGGTCAAAGGCTAACGCAAAAAGGTGTAGTAGTCGAGACATACGCATTTAATGCATACCTACTGTTGACCGATAATACCAAAGTCTGTCAGCTTCGTATTATCAAATAACTGGAATGGCTTTTGATGGCGATTTGCTGCCCCTAATTTGCATGTGCCGAGCATAGGCGGTCCCAGGGGGGGCACGGGGGCGATGCCCCCCCCCCCTTTGGTGCTGAAAGGTAGGGCCATACTATCTTTTGGCCCCACCTTTCAGATCGAACAAAAGTCCTAGAAAGCTTTTTGTGTGTTTCATTTTCTTTCTTGCGCCATCAAAGGACGTAAATTTCACTCATGAGTAGGCTCAGTTTCGCATTCTGTCAATTTGGCGGTCAGCGTCGCTGGCACCGGTTCACGAGTATGGCCGGATCTTATATGGAATATCAGCGTGGGTTTACTTGAGGCTCTCGTAGGCCCAGCAATGGCTGGCATGAGACCCTCTTCGGCAGTGACTAAAGTAAGACCTCATGGGTTGGTGCTGTGCACCTCAGAAGCCCGGTGGTGACGCCGTATGCCGGCTTGGTTTCTTAAGGATTAGCGTGGGACCTCCGGGGCCTGCATAGAGTTTGCATGAGCTACTAAGTATGCAATCTCAGAGGCCTGTGTGTAATGTGTACACAGTGGCGGTCGCGGGGGGGGGGACATCAGAGCCATGACCCCCCCCCAAAGGCCAATAAAGGGGGCCATCATATCATTTGCCCCCCCCCCTCCCTCTCAAACAACCGATGGGCCCCCATAGGTGTATGGGGCCCTGGCCCTTATTCGATCGTCACGAGGCTCAAAAAACCCACTCCCAGCTATTAATATAGCTCCCACACCGGTCTTTGAGCGTCCTACACTGACCTCTGAGGGAACTTCAGTGGCGGTCAAGCGCCCATGTTGGCCGCTAAGAGCCCACATCGACCTCTGAAGCCCCACATCTGGCCTATGAGGGCCCCTAACCGGCCTCAGGGGCCCCAACCGGCGTCTGAGCGTCTCACACCGGTCTCTGGTGGCCTTATTTCTGTCTCTGGTGTCCCAAGACGAACCTTTAGGTGCCAATGAGGGCCCCGCACTGGCTGCTAAAGACCTGATGCCGGCCTCTAAGGGCCTACATTGACCTCTGAGGAAGGCCCATCTTGGCCTTCGAGGGCCCTCTGCTGGCCTCTGGGGTCCAACGACGGCTCATGCCGGTCTTTTAGAGCCCCACACTGACCTCTGAGGGTCCCATGTTGGCCTGTAATGAGCAAGGACCCACATTAGCCTCTGAGAGCCCAACTCGGTCTCTGATGGTCTCAAACTACTGGCCTTTGCAGTTTGCAGGCCCTGTACTGGTCTCTGAGCGCCCTAAACTGGCCTCTAAGTGAAAACATACATGGGTGGGCTTCTGAAGATCAGAGGGCTTACGCAGACTCCTGCACAGCCTTACGTTGGTCCTGATCGAGATCACTTTACGTCCTGATGGTCCCGCGTAGATTCACTCATATTTCGACGTCGGGGCCCCATGAGCCGTTGTCCTGGGGCCTGGGGCTGGCAGAGACTGATGAAGTCCTCAGGGCTCAGGGCCAGTCTTTTTAGCATGAGGCCTAGGCATTTGAGTGAGCCCCAATAGAGCCGTTGCGAAGCCCGCAGGAGTCGCGCGCGGCCCTCAGATGCCAATTTTGAAAGCCAGGAACCTTTGGTCTCCAGAGGTCGGTGGACGGTGTACCTACCTACTCTCTCCCGCCGCCACACAACTACTCGTATATGGGTAAATGTCATAGTCTGAAAATGCTCTCTGGGTTTCACATGCTTGTTCAAAGCAAGAGGTAGGTATCTGTACTTTTCCGAATTGTTTTAAGTGGTAAGGTCATGAATCCTCGTGCCCGACCTTCCAGTATAAGTGCTACACCGATCCGTCGCCATGGTGCAGTGGCCCGACCGGTGGAAACACCGTGGGACGAGAAATGGAACTGGTGATTTTGCCTTAAATTGAGCTTAAAGATTCCACGCAAGAATGAGATGGATGAAGCATAAGTATGGCCAACTGCGCGGCGCCTCGTGGACGTAAAAATGAGCCGAACACCCCCCCCCCCCCTCCGGTGACGGATAAATGTTATGTCCCGCGAGTGTGAGTTTGGCCCCCCCTTTTGCTAGCGGCTGCGACCGCCAGTGGTGCCGAGTAATAAATACATGCGTCCGCCGCCCCAGATCAGTTTAACCCCAAATTAATGACGTCACTCGACCTGTGTGACGTCACTGCAGGTGAGCTAGCACCGACAGCGCGCGATGAACAGCTGACTTGCGCCGCGGCTCCGCAGAAGCCTACCGTGACCGAACCGAAATTGACTGCGGCGCGGCACCGGCCTCCGCCGGATATAGCGCCGAGCCACTTTGGGGCGCACTTTGGATCGATCCGTGTCGTTTAACGGCCAAAATTGCCGGGTCTCAGCTCTCGGCTCGGCGGGCAGTGGGTGGCCTTAGACGGCGGTGCGAATCCCTCAGACGGTGGCTGGTATACAGCCGACCTATACGGGTCACCCCGGCGAACCGCGCGGCGTGGGCGCCTCCAGACGTGTCGTCACATTACCGGTCGGAGGGAGGGACGGACGGTATCCGGGAGGTCGTGAATCGAGAGCGGCGCTCAACCTGGGGGTGTGGGCGGCCACTGCACTTCAGCTCAAAGTGGGAGGATGTACTGGCCACAGAATGACAAAATGACCGAGTGGGGAGGAGGGGAGTGGGGGAGGAAGCGGGGAGGAGTGGGCGGTGGTGATTTAGGGAAGGTGGGAGGGCTGGAAGGAGTAAAGACAGACTCCGGCGAAACGGGACACGAGTTGGCTTTAACGTCATGACACGCAACTCTCTCATCCATCATGGAAATGGTGCCGGTGGGCTCGGAAACGGTCCCAGCCGGTGAAAATATATGAAGATGGACAGCGCGAAACTCAGGCAGCCATTAGGTCAAAGTGGCATTGTGCGCGCTGAAGTAGAAGTTTCTGGTCGCATGCGTGCCAAAAATTACAAGCATAGTTATGCCATTGCATTGTGGTACTCACTATCAATGTTCAGTTGTTGGTATACACGCTAAAAACGCATTGAGCACGAGAAAGGTCCACAGGAAATAAGCATAGTTGCATTACGATATTCCCGGTCACTTATTAGTGCATGATACCACTATCCATCTGGCAGTAGGCTAGCAGCAAATGCATCCAAAGAGATAGGTGAGAAGTGACTGACCTCCCTGAGATAGGCAGACCAGCTCCAGGGGCTCGTCTTCCTGCAGAGGCCCGATCCTTCCCGTCACCGTCCTCGTGTTGTATAAGATAATTGGCCTCTCCGGCGGAACTGCGAACAAGGTCAAGGTCAAGGTCATAGTCGTGTCAAGGTCATAGTGCGTTTCGCACTAGCCTTGACACAGCGCACCTTATAAGAGCCATAGGCGCGTTTCAATCCAAGTAGGAAGGTGTGTAAGATAAACTGCACGGGCCCACCGTTCTGTGCAGGACCTCATAGCAGGACCATCGCCGTCTCAGGCGCCATACGTGCTATATGATGAATGAGCCCACCCCGAGCCGGCATTTTTGTTCAGGACTTTGCATATGTGCCTGAGTCGAGCCTTAAGTGGAACATGGCGTTTGGACAATGGACGCCCGCACAATGTGTCATGCAGTTCAGGCAGTTGACGCAATACGCGCTGAATCGTATAGATCAACTGAATGTACATTAATGCTAGCACTTTTTTACCGTATGGGGAAAGACCAACGCCATCGGAACGTATAGTACGAGATTTACAGATAAATATGCAGATTGCAGAATAGCAACACATTCACGGACAACAACCCAGCTCATCAAGATCACAAGCTGATAAACATACAACATGAAGAAAGACAAGAAAGAAGGTAATTAAAAATCAACGAACATTTATACGTCATACAATACGGACACAATAATTAGCTTCCAAGAGAGTTACCTTTTATCTAGGCCATGAACCCCCTCCCCCTCACCTACCTATGACGGTCAGGTTGATGCGGTAGTTTCGGGTCTGGCTGTTCCGGAAGTCCACCCGACACCGGTACTGGCCCTCGTCGTGAGCGGCCACTGCCGCCAGCCGCAGAGCGGACCGCTCCATGTGTGTTACGAATAGCACATCACGGGGCGGAGGAGCGCCCACTGTGCGGTCCGCCAGCGGGCGGCCCCCGCGGCCGTCAAAACTGGCGACACACGCAGACACAGGGGTCACGGCGGCGCGTCAGGGGTCACACCAACGCGTCAGGGGTCGGGCGCAGGTCAAGAGGTCACTCGTGTGACCGCGCAGGTCACGGTGACAGAATTGGTCGCCATTATCTCAGAGTAGGGTGATGCGTAGGAGGCAGGGTCAATGAGATAAGTACGTGAGGATCGGCCGACGTGGTGGGATAATGACATAACTGCGCTCAGATATCCTAATCCAATCCACTTAAATAATCACTTGGCCTGGTGCCATTTCAGGTTTTTATCACAGCAGTTGGTCTGAAGGGACTGAACTCGTTGCCAGGGAGAGGGATTAGTATTGTAACGCCGTTTGATTTGAAATTAACGTGCATCATTTGATGACGGACGCCAAAGTCCAAGACTACAGGAATTTGCACCATTTGAAACCAGTTGAGCTCAAAATCAATACTCAGCGCTCCTCTCTTCAAACAACGAAGTTTGGGTCGACAGAATCAATGTTCGCAGCATTGCTTGAATGGTAATACACATCCTAATCATCGATCATCCATCGAAGCGAGCAGTTCAATAATTAAACAAATTGGACGTAGTGTCAGTCAACGACAAAATAAATTGGACAGGGCCTTGAGGATGACATGAGCAATGAGCAGTGCAAGAAACATTGCATTTACGTATGCCACCATGAATACTGTTGCTGTTTGCTGTGGGGGATGCAGACAGTTTTGGTTAAAGCGAAGTAAAGTAAGAGGATGCAAAGTAAATGTAAGTATGTGCTTTAGTATTTAAGTAAAGCAGAGGATGTTGATTGTACACACGATAGTGATGACGCTATGAGCGGATTACGTCTCTGGTTAACTATGACAACGTTACTGACACATTTTATGCGCATATCTGGCTAAACTGTGGAAGGTTTCAGATGCAGGGGAAGATGCGTGAGATTCGCGACACACTCTGTGCTGACAGGTTTAACCCGGCCGGGCCCGGGGGGTAATCCCAACCACCGCAGCCCCGGGGGGGGGGGGGGCGTTTTTCGCCCCCCCTGTCTAACTCCGTAAATAAGGGAGCTACGGAAACAAAAGCGATACCAAACGAAAGGTCCTTACGAGACGATTCTAATGCACCTAAAATTTTTGACCTCAGGTCAATTTTCAAGGTCAGAGGTCAAGGTCAAAGGCAAAAACCGCCACATGTGTAGTGATCTCAAAGTAAGTCTTCTAGAGGACGGCAGGCTGCATCAAACCGGCAAAATTGGCTGTCAAACGAAAGAAGAGAATCTAAGAATTCTGAAAATGTGCTCAAAGTGAAAGGTCAAGGTCAAGGTCACGCTCAAAATTGACCTCAAACTTGGCACTTTTTCGCATATCTTGCGTGCTAACTTCCAAGATGTTTTGAAATGTTTTGAGGCTTATCAGTTCCCTATTTATGGTTCATCTTACGATACAAGGCTGCTCAAAGGTCAAGGTCACAGAAGAGTATCCCTGCTAGAGGCTATTTCACTGATTCAAGTTAGTAATAATAAATAAGACAATTTTGCACACCGGAAGCTCTAAATGAAGGCTTAGAGGAAAATAGATGCCAGATTCGTGATCAGCGGGTACAAATCCATCATAAACGACCTTTCATGTGTCAAGGTCAACCAGAGGTCATTCGAGGTCACATGAGGTCAACATAAAATTTGACCTTTTCCGAACAAAATATATATCATTCGACGCGGCTTGACAAGGCGAATGCGATGGTACCACTGCCGTAGCTCTAGGACCATTTTTGTCGAAGTTATTTGCGAAAAACTAAAACCACATTTCGGGGTCGTTGACCTGACCTCTGACCTCAGGTCACCAAAACTATTTTTCTATTTTTCTCTAGGTCAAACGCTACACAACCGTGCTCGTAATTTGTCTTTATCTCTAAAACTCTATTTTTAGCAGCTATTTGAAGTTTGCGTCTGTGACGCCAAAGTTTGCCGTGCGGGGGTCTAGAAAAATGGACCTTGTGACGTCATCAAGGGGGCTAGGTCCGAATTTTTTACTTCAGAAGATGTCAAATTGATGGGAAAAAAGGTACTGAAAGTTTCGCCTTCCTATCCCTAAGCGTTCGGGAGCTATCGCAAATATTCGCCAGGGGGGGCGAAAAACGCCCCCCCCCCCCGGGCCCGCGAGGGTTAAGTACAATGCTCAATAGTGGATATGTGTCTATGGCTGTCCTACCTTATTATTTGACGTTACCAATTATCTTCCACTTTTTAATTAGTCTCGCTAGGTTCATGACGGAGCTGCACTCGAGTCATTTTCGACACCTTCAAATTACATCAGACATTATTCCTGCCTGTTTTCTATCGTCAAACGCCAATGTCTTCTAATGGTGCAGTGGCACATACCAAGCGATACTTCCCCGGAATAATACGCACATAAAAACACTTAATTACGCTCCGTAGACCCACTTCAGCAATAACTGTGCGTTTTAACAATGGCCCGAAATGGCCCGAATAACAATAAAAATGTAATACTCCCCAGACACCCTTCAACAATAGCTGTGTATTTCACGTTGCACGCAACTTTCAAGAGGTTTCAAGGGAACTAATTTTGCAGCACCGCTGTGTCATCTGAAGTCACCCCCTGGGCCCATAATGCATATGCATGAGTTCCGGCAGACTCGAAGTGGTGTTCTCCGCAGTTAGTTTGGCCAGCGCATGTCCTTCAATTATCGGAGCAATTATCCAATTATCCCTGTTGTACTTACTCAGGTGAACATGCATACATTGCGAGTACCAAGATAACGGCTACATTTTGCTGAGGGCTGAATAACACCTCACGTCCAGTCTCGCATGGCGTGAGTATTTTATATTGATTTAGGGAAGATAAGGAAGTCAGTGACCAGCGAAAGGTTTGGCATGAGCTAAAGGCATAACTGCAAGCAAGCCTGTCGGGCCTAAGGCCGGCTGTAAATGTGGTCGTCCTCGCATGGAATGCACTGGTTAATTCTGCAATTCGCGTGGGTTTGCAATCGTTCACGAGCTGATGGAAGTAAGCCTGGGCAGTGGTCACACAGAGGAGTTCTGAAAATGGCAGGCATGCACTTCGGCTTGATCATGGGAACTGTGTGTGTGTTGTGTAAGGACAGACTGAATGTCGCGCAGGAGTTAACCAGCACAAGAATGTGGACGACGTTGCTTTTGGATTAAGATGGGATAGATTGTATATCTATGCATAGATGACGGAGTTGTCGATACATGTAAATGAAGACAGGGGTGATGTTCGATGTACAATGCGCATGGGGCGTAAGTGAAATTTTCTTTGCATACCAACATGTAAAGCGTTTACTCTTCCTCAAAGACAGGGTTCTCACTGAAGCTCTGTACATGGGGAACTGCATGACGAGATGAAAGCGATGTCACGCTGAAGGTGAACATGCTGAATCGAATGACGTACCTGTACATGGGGATGCTCTCGCCGTCCTTGTACCAGAGCACGAGCGTGGCCTGGTCGGCCGGGTCGGAGGAGCTCGTGTCGCAAGGCAGGTCGGCTGGACGACCCATCACCCCGACCACCTCGGTCACGTGACCTGTGGGCGCAGACAGGCGACCGGTCAGTGCGGGGTCATGTGATTTCATGAGGGTGCGAAACACGACGTTTACAAACTATCAAAGCCTCTAAAGTGTTCTGTATGATGCTCAATAAAAACAGCATCCGACCCAAACCAAGAAAGGCGATTGGAACCAATTCTAGGGCCGAGGTTTGCTGCGAAGCAAACAACATTTATATTTTGTGAAGAGTCAGATGCTTTGAGACTTCATAATTACAAAAGTTGAACGGAAAGTTCACTGAATACGAAGGAGGTGAATGGGTGGAGAGAGACAGGAGTGGCAGTTATTTGAACTGCGGCTCTAAACGCCTCGCAACAAAATTGCTTTGAGGTTATTTCAAAAGGGCAATGCAAGGGATGACAAATGAGCGATTTGCCGTGTACTAAGTCAGAAGATATATCTAGGAAAAAACATTGTAGCATGTCATGAAAGCAATTGTCCATATTCAGACAGCTTTGTCACCAAGTTTCGTTGCCATTTTTAGGAAAGCTTTCTGCTTCAACGGCGCCAGTCAAAGCAGATGCAGACTAGATAAATACAGTTTGCGGCGACTAAAAATCGCGGATGAATAAAGCTGCCATATCGGCGCCGCCGTTCTCACAAAAAGGCGGCCGTTCGACGTGAATTGATTTACCGAAAGCATAAATCAGCAATAATACAGGCTTTAAGCAGGCTCCGCAGTGACGGCCGCCGATGCAAGGGCCGCCGATGGGCGTTTAACGTTGTTTACAGCTCACGTGGCCCGTTCAGGCTGCGTGCCTCTCAATCATAACGCCGGCACTGATCAGGAGTAAATTTGTTGCACGGCCGCCGTAATTTGACGCGGCAGGCAGTTTTGTTGTCGGGGATCGCCGAGGCACCCGCGAAGATTGCCGACCGGTGCTCTTCGGGCCCAATTAAGCTGTCGCGGCCGAGCGCACATTGAGCTTGTTATCGACTGGGAGAGAGGGCAGCGCCGGGTGCCCGCGAGCGGCGGATGGCCAGAAAAAAACCACTGGCTGATTTAATGTCTGACATTATCAGTGCGATCGCCGGCCGCACAAGCGCAGGGACTTGACCGAGCGGCTGGATGTATGTATTGCTCAGAAAGCCCATCTGTGGTCAGTATGCACAGTGGTTATGTGGCCGCTGTGCCGGAGCGCTATGTAATCTATTCAGTCCGAACTATCTATGATTGACGGTCGAAGACAAGTCGAATGATCTGAGTGGCCTTCGGAGGCTTCCTTACCATCCCACCCTCTGAATAACTGTAAACAATTAGTCCGCCAACGTGACGTCATTTTGATGACGTCACGTGCCCCGATAGAGATGGGAGCACACTGTGCCGCCGAGATCAATCCAGCATCGCCTCTGTTTTCCCTCGCACATCCGTCCAGAGTCTGAGCCATGTTTATTCCGGCGAAACGCGCAGTCCAAATATTTGCTCGGCCGGCTCAAAAAAGATCGTCATCGGTGCATTTTTCGTACCGTCTTGCAGCTGGAGTTTACACGCGGCAATGCACTTCCGGCCGACGATGGATGGCATAGCGTCGGCGGCGACGCTGGAGGTCCGGGTGGGCTCGACGGTGTCGACGGGCCGCTCCGACGGCTCTTGGGCACGCGCCGGGCCGCCGCGCGGCGGAGCAAAGTGGTGCCTCAGGACATCGCTATAGTTGTGAGCTAGGACAACCCCCGCATCAGACCGGAGAGGCACGCAGATGCGCTCTCCGTACTTTCCGGAAATATGAAATTGTTTGCTTACCTTGAATATGAGGAATTAAACGCCAACGACTATAAATATTGCGGTAAGTGCCCTGAAAATGTATTCTATCATACTTTGAGCAGGGAATAAAAGGACTGTTAATTATCTGTAGTTTCTGTAGAAGACTTTCTGACGAGACAAACCATTTACCAGACCATACCTAATCGCTGGGAGCCCACAGCAAATAATCACAGGAGGTCCAAGCCAACTGATGCAACAGTAACAGCTACGATCGCAGTTATTCACAGCTCTGCCGTCATCATCGTCCACCCGTGTCCAAACAATAATGAATAAACTATTAACTCAGCACCTCACTTCATCTATTCAACATTAATGATCGACTCAGGTCAACCGATGACGACCAAAGCAATCGTCCATCCCCACTATTTATCAGGTTTATCGGACCGCGTGCTGTGCAACTGTTGTCACAATTTAGGATTATCGCTCTATACAAGTGCGCAATGAATCCCGCACCCCTGGCCACCCGCAGAGTCGGACGCGTTTCTGACGGACCGCCGTCATTAAAACCGGAGCTATCACCACATTACCGCAAGTAACACGGCTTGACGCGGTCGCCGCAGCCTAGTTCCGCGCAGTCGGAGCAATAACGGAGGACGGACACGCTCATTCGTCCCCCAGGCCCTGTTTCGAGGCGACCGTCCGACTATGGCGCGGCGGGCACAACAAAAACACACCGTGCGCCGGCCCGCTGGGTGCGCGCTGGGGCGGCTCGGCTGACTGGAGCAGAGGTGAAGAGCACGATGAATGGAAAACAGACAGAACAAACGGACACATCAGGCCACTTGGAACGGGATGGAACAGAGCGCAGTCGAATCAGATAGAGAGAACGGATAAAGTACCGAGCGGGACTGAAAAGGAAGCTAAGAAACCCGACGGTTAAAAATAGTAGGTATGTTAAGACTAAGAGAGGCTGGAGGGAAGGGAGGGGATGAGAAGAAAAGAAACAGCCGGAGAAAACAAAAAAGGTTCCGAAAATGGTATGCAATGCATGAGCGGGAGTTAAAATTGGACTCAAATGGGAAACTTTAAATGGACAAAGAAAAGGAAAGGTATGGACTATGGGGAGAGAAAGGAGGGCGCGGAGAAAGGAAGAAATTAATGAGGTGGGTGATACGGATTTGTATAAAATAAATATAGCAAGCTCGTACTACTGAAATAACTAAAGGCTTATTAACAATTAGCGCCACTGCGCGGGGACAGCGCATGACCTCGGGGCTGCTCGCACCGTCTCCACAATCCACATTAAACTAAGGTCCTGGGGACGACCTCACAGTGCACTGCCGGCCTGGGAACCGACCAGTGCCCGTCCACATGCACCGTGCCATCTGCACGACCTGACCACCGCCTTGGGTGCCCGCTTGTCTCACGCAGCCGAAACTGGTGTCATTTCGGTGCTGCGCGCGGCGCCTCCGGCCGCCCCACGCCGCTTTCTGAGAAGACGACCCTGCAGCTCTTGGACATGGCTCGTCGTGGCGCCGGTAACCGCAAAGTGGCGGTCTAACGGCAGGGCCTACGGACGGCCTGGAGGCAGTGGGACTGTTTGGAGCGAATTCCAGAGCGGTGGACACCTGAGTCGGTGATGGGTAACGGAAGGAGTGGATGGTGGGCAGGAGATGAGGAGACGTAATGGGATGAAACGCTACGGGGTAATATGGGGGATGGGAAATTAACATTTAACACAATATTTTACATTGCTTTCTATGCTCGTATGCTCTGCACATTTCTGCCTCAAAAACAAAAGTTCATTCGGTTCGTCGATTTGTTCAATTACTGAAGTACTGCGTAGTTCCATTTATCCAATTCCTATCTCCTTCCCAGTTCCCAATTGAGTTTAGGGTTTACACAATCTAAGAAATCCCTTCGTGTAACAAGGGACACAATCACAGCCATGTCGCGAGCGATTGTTATCAAATGATTGCTCGGCGCTCGTGCCCACCCCTCCCCCTCCTTGTCCCCCTCCCCTTCCCCACCGCTGGCATAGTGGCACAGCCCTGAGAACAATGCATCACCTCGCTCATCGGACCGCCGTCCAGCGTCTTTGATCGATCATCCCCCCCCCCCACCCCAACCACGCGCCCTCCCCCTGATCTCCTAGCCGATGCCCGCCCGCCTCTGCGCAGGTAGTGATTGGTTTCATGATGCCGGAGAAGACCATGAAAGCGACTGTAAAGCCGCCTGTGGCTTCTGATCAGATAACGCCGTGTTCTTTGCAGGTACGGCGCCGTAGCGGCGGACGCACTGCCGCGAGAGAGCAGTCGCTGCATACTGATTGTTAATTAGCTGACCTGGTGGTCGGGATACTGATTGGTTTTAATAACGAGATGTGCAAAGGGCGGTGGTGTACAATACCGTTGTGTAATGTTGTGCACGTGGTTATTTGTCTATGAAACGGGTTTTTGCTATTGTTAGAGCTGCAGGTAAATCTCCTGGCATGTGTCTGATATGAATACCAATATTCTTTTAAACGTGCCGGCAAGCCGCGGCGAGCTGCTGTTATGGAAATTGCACTTGGAATGGGGAACAATGTCTTTCACTGATTCTTTACAGGGCCGTCTCTACACCGTCTGCTATAAAAGCAGTCGTCAAAACTATTTATATACACTGTGGTCAAAACATTTCCTATGTCTTTTCCTGACGAGCAATAGCCATCGACTTCAGATTTCAACGTGGCATACTTCCGCTCAGTTCCTCGCATTATGAACCGGATACCTTCCACTCAGATTCTTTGCAAGTAGGGCGAAACCATTCTTCCACATCACTAGCATGTAGCTCAAATGATAACCGCTTGAGAACATCGAGGTAGTTCGACAAAATAATGCCATCTGCATCGTCTTCTTTGCCGTAAAGCTGCCTCCACAACTTAAAAAAACGTAAGAGAACTTTTTTTAAGACATCAAATCGATCAACATAGCATCATGCCACGAAACGTCTTGAGCCCATCATTGATCAATGACCATCAGCTCCAGTGACCTCCCATCTCACGCCCTGTCATTATCCCCTACCACGGAGCTCCTCCGCCCACACTCCAAGGCACCTCCCTGGCATCTGATATCTCCCAGAACTGCCTCTGATGACATGGCAGTGACGTGGCTCGTTTAGTTTGAGTTCCGACACTGACTGAGGGTTGGGACGGCGCTTAGGGTGTGGGTACATGGCAGACGACAGTCGGCGACTCCCGGTCTACGTGGGTGAGTTTATTTCTGCTACAGCA